ATTCAAATTCAATTCAATTTAAATTCAAAATGGGCTTTATTGGCAGGAAAGTTTTTTTAAAAAACAATATTGCCAAAGCAAAGCATCAAAATACAATACAATAAATTGAAATATTCAGACAATACACAATATGAACGATATATACATTATGAACATTATATTAGTTATATATATAGTGTGTGTGTGTGTGTGTGTGTGTCTGTGTGTGTGTGTGTGTGTGTGCCTCGATCACTCACTGTGTGTGGCATGTTAATACATACTGGGCAGCAAGGTGTGCCCGCTCTCCTTCTCCAAGGAGTATTTTTAATTTGGAGAGGTCGTTCAGCTCTTTGAAATCTGGTACCAAAGAGCTGAACTTGTTCAAATACATTTTTCTCGTATCATTTAATTTTGTACATTGTAGGAGAAAGTGCATCTCTGTCTCAACCTCACCTGTCGACCAGTGACCACATTTTCTGTTTTCTTTTGGTTGCCATGATTGTTTGTGTCTTCCTGTTTGGATTGGCAGTTTGTGGTCACTGAGCCTGTACTTGGTTAGGATCTGTCTCTGCTTTCTATCTCTGACAGTAGAGAGATATTCTGCTCATTCATAATCTCTTTTAAGGGCAAGATAACATTCCAATCTACTTTGGCTTTTAGCTGTTTCTTCCCAATGGTCCAGATAGCTTTCTTTACATTGTGCTATCATTTGCTTTACTCTGATTAATGTTTGTAGAGCAGTGTTGTTGTGAGGCTGGTCAGAGTGTGTCTGAGAGGGGGCAGTTAGCCTCAGTACCAACTGACATAGGGGACTCTTTTCTGGGCTCAGCTCTTGGGTTTGGAGGGCTTTGGAGTGGAGGGTGTCTCTGGGGCTGGATTTCAGGTGGTTAAAAAAGTTGAGCGTTCTCTTCTGAATGTTAATTATCAGTGGGTATCTGCCTGATTCTGCTCTACATGCATTTGTTGGTGTGTTTCTGTGTACGTGTAAAATGTATCTGCAGAATTCTGCATGTAGAGATTCTGTTGGATGTTTGTCCCAACGGGTAAAGCTCTGATGACTGATGACATGCAGCAAAGGGCCGCAGGTCGGATTCTAACCCTGGGCTGCTGCAGCAAGGACTCAGCCTCAGTACATGGGTCGCAAGCTCTACCCACTGAGCTAACAGGGCGCCCCATTTCTGTCTTTCAGACAACAATTAGTGATGCCTGACAAAGCTTATTTCCCTAAACTGGTAGTGCGAAATCAGAATAATCCTCTTATTCTCATCCTAATTATTGTTATGGCTTTGGATTTCAGTTTAGTTAGTTCCTGTTTTATGTTAAAAGATTCCTTGCTCACGTGTGTTGTTTAACTTCACTTCCTGTCTTTGTCTGTTTTCCCGCCAATTTTAATGGTCCCGCCCTGATTAGTTATACCTGTGTCTTGTTCTCCTTCCCTGACCTGTGCATTAAGTCTTTGTGTGTCTTTGTTCCATTGACAGTTCGTCTTTGTCTGCATGTCAAGCGTTCCCACAAGTTTCGCAGTGTGTTTTGGACTTTCTGTTTTTTTTATTGGATTCTGGATTTCTTGTCTCTCTGTTTTGGATTTGTTTGCCTGTTGTCAGTAAGCTTTGTCCCTTTTGTTTAAATAAATTGTTGAACTGATCCTGTCTGCCTGCTGCTGTGTCCACGGATAATTATTGCTTCAAAAAGAAGTGTTTTGTATGAGGTGTGATAAATACACCAAATGTAGCTTGTACACTAAAGCCTTGTTCACACTAAGGATGGGTCGATACACGATATTTTTCACATATCATGATAAACGTGCTTGCTCATGGTGGTACTGTTGGGTCTCTGTAAATAATGTTTTAAAGGAGTTCGGTCTAGACCTGCTCTATTTGAAAAGTGTCCTGAGATAGCTTCTGTTATGAATTGGCGCTATACAAATAAAATTCAATTGAATTGAATTGAACTCTCAGATAATTATATCCTGGTAAATTTCCATTATTGAGATAACTGACGGCCCTCATATGCTTGACTTGGAAAGGCAATCTTCCTTAATAAAGTGCAGTCCTATACTGATTTCCTGATTTCTTTTAATTGCCACAAGGGGGAGCCCACATGTCATTCCAAAATCCTAATGGTTCAGGGGTCCCACAGCTTCCCAGCACTGGATACTGTGGCTCAGAGGTAGAGCGGGTCGTCCACTAATCGGAAGGTTGTTGGTTTGATCCCCGGCTCGTCTCGCTGCATGTCAAAGTGTCCTTGAGCAAGACAGTGAACCCCAAATTGGTATATGAGTGTGTGTGAATGATGAGTTTCCGTTCTGGTGAGCAGTTGGCACGTTGCATGGCAGCCACAGCCATCAATGTATGAATGTGTGTGGACGAAAGACGAGAAAGACGCTATATAAGTACAGTCCATTTACCATTTACCATTTGTAGTCATAAACAACCAACAACCGTGCAAACACTTCTGGGAGATTTCGAGATTTCAAAATGGACCAACTGCTGAATCTGCAAAGACTGGGTGGTGAATGAGTAGCAGCACGAATTAACTGACGGCAGAGAGGGAATCATATTTAAAAAGACAGCATCAAGATGATTGGCTCATGATGCATAGTGCTATTAGATAGTTGATTCACAATCAACAGCCCCTGATAATGACAGAAAGGTAACTGAATGAGCATGCATAAGAGGAGTGCTAAAGAACAGTCTTGTTTTTTGCTAAAAGCATTATTATTATTATCAGGGTACTTCATGATTTAGTTGTTACCCTCCTCTACCTGTGTGTCATGCAGCGTGTTTACATGACTACATTTCCCTCAAACACACTGACCAAATATTAAAGATGATTTCTGAATGAATCTGGATCATAATGTGTCTCTGAGGCAAGATGAGCATCCTGATTTTGCACCTAAAATTCAATCAAACACTCATTATAGTTTCCTCCATTATAACAAACTCCATCATTCCATGATGACTTCTTACAGATCACAGCCATGGTGGGTTTGCATGAGATTAACAGCCCAGAGGATGTCTACAGTTCCTACGAATCACAAGAGAAATCCAGGTCGTAGTCCCAGCCCAATGGGACAAAGCATTATAACCAAGCTGGGAATAGAACACAGGATGTGGATTCAGGTGTGAACCGATCAGAGGTGAATTTAAACAGGTAAGTAGAATCAGAACAGACAGATACAGTTAGAGAAGTAAAAACCGTACTAATCTGTGTAATACCAGCCAGGGTATAAAGGCATCACTAGGGCTGTGTATTGGCAAGATGGTTTTAATCTCTTGTTAGTTCAGAGTTCATGGCCAGCCTGAGCACCCACCTTAGAAATAACTTTTGTACTGACAAATTAATTTTACCCATTAATACAAATATGATTTTAGAAAAAAAATGTTATGACACAATTTATACAATCATAGCATGTAAAAATAAATTATTAAGAAAGTGTTTTTAGTTGTTTATGGTCACGTAAGATGACATTTATTTTTTTTATGCCCAAAACTCTCAGTATACAGGGTAAAATACAGTTAAAAGAAACTTAACATACATAAAATAAAAATGTACATACATGTTGAATTAAAAATAATAAAACTAAAGCAATAAAAAAAAGCAAATGATGGTTAATATTTATGTAGTATGTTACAAACGTTACAAGCAATATAGGAAGCAACTGTACAAGACAGTTACCATGTTACTATTTTACAAATCACCAGAATTATAACTGACACTAGGTAAGGTGTATATTAACATGAAAACTGAAGAAGGAAGATTTTTTTTTTAAATATATTTTTTATTCTATTCTTTAACTTTTTGTTTCAGATTGAAGATTTGGTTAGCTGTGGTTGGCAGTGTCAGACACAGTCCTGTCTGTGTGTGTCCTCATGCTTCTGAAGCAGACACTGCCAACCACTGCACATGATTAAATGAGCAACCAGCCACTAAACAATGGCCACATCATTTATCTGTTGGTTGTTTTACACTTGTTACAGTGTTGAGGCCCACCGGGACAAATAACGCACATCATCATAATTACAGTCAGCAGCAGCTGCCACAGAGGGAGACATATAACCCTGTTCACACATTCAACATGCTCTACATTATCCAATCAGTCACTATCAGACTGGCCTTCCCACAAACCCACTGAGCAGAGCTTATGAGATGTTTATTCAAAAGGCAGCGTAAATATCAGACATTTGCAAATATTCTAACACCTAATCAAGCTGATACATATTTACTTTGGAACAGCCGTGTGTTGCCTCTCCTTAGAGATAGCTTTAGTTGCAGGGATTATAGTAAACTGATTACATGAATGTAATGTGTAAATGATAATAAGATTCCTAGACCTGTGGACATGTCATTACATTTGTGTTTACTCAAAATATGTGTAATGTGACAGACAGGCCCACTTTTAAAGATAAATATTTTAATTGAGAAAAAGCTGAAATTCTGGGGGAAAGAAGTTGTAATATTGTGAGAGTTAAGTCACAACTTTACTAGTAAAAGGTATTTAACAGAATAAACAATAAAATCATCTTATTTTACATTAAATATGGAATTCTATGGCTGTTTTATGATCATTCTATGTCTTTTTCATGTGAAGCATGTCATTTCTTTAAAGCACTTTGAGCTGCTTTTCTTGTATGTGCTATAGAAATAAAGTTACTTATTATACATAGTTATGATTAGTATTGTGATTGTGATAATGATGGTGATTATTATGATTATAATTATAATTTTATTATACTTTTAAAACCAAATCATACTTTTATGAGTATGTGTTTATGAGATAAGGGTGTAATTAAAAAAAGCTTTTTACAAGCTAAAGTCCTTGTTTTACAAGAAAAGGTTCTATTACAAGATCATATTAGAAAAATTGTATAATATTATTAAGTTAAAGTTTTTTGGAGAATAAAAGTAATAAAAATGGTAAACAAATATGAAAATATTAATAGATATTTGTTGTAATATTACTAGAAACAACCATAGTAGTATATGATATAGTTGTAGTAAATGGTAAATGGTAAATGGACCTGTACTTGTATAGCGCCTTTCTAGTCTTCCGACCACTCAAAGCGCTTTTACACTACGTGCCACATTCACCCTTTCACACACATTCACTCAGTGATGGCAAAGTCCATCAAACAGAAACTAACATTCATACACATTCACACACCGATGCATGGCATCAGGAGCAATTTGGGGTTCAGTATCTTGCTCAAGGATACTTCGACATGTGGCACCAGGAGCCGGGGATCGAACCCACAACCTTCCGCCCTAGTAGTACAAGTATAGTCCTAGTATGAGGATGAAGCTGTAATGAAGTTAGTAATACTTTTCCAAAAATAAAAATATGTTCAAATTAAAAACTCAAAAATGTTGTTAATTCACACTTTGTTCTAGTAACACAGTTAGCTTTCACTAAACATATTTTCACAGATTTTAAGACACTGAAGTCAGATCCAGTCAGTGTGGTGTAACTCAAATCTCTTGTTTTTGATTTGAGACTTAATCTCATTATATATTTATCTGTTTATATAAATCACGTTGTGCTGCGTCAGTACTGAGCCTGGCACATCACCTGCATATTATCATGAACATGACATTGTGATTAGCTCATTAAACTCATTTGTACTTTCATAACATAGATTTTAGAATCCTTTTATAATTGCATGTTTCATACACTGAAGGCAGAATGGGCTCTTTACAAGAGTGTTGAATACAACATGCAAATACAAACACACATTCATATAAAGTATAAACATAGCCATTTTGGTTATGCTTTAAATAAATTTAAATTTAACATATTGTTCATGTCCCCCATGAGGTCATGATTATTACTTTTACAAGAACAGATTCTGAGTTAAAGACATCAATTAAAGTCATTAGGACACTATTAACACTTGTAGTTTTGTTACATAGGAAGAGACCATTCATTCATTCATTGTGTGGTACTACTAAGGCCCATGAGCAAATCATATTAAGATCTTAAATCATGGACAACAACTTCCTTACTTAGTATCATTAAGCAGTGATTAGGAGGTTAATGAGAGAAAACTCTTAATTAATGGCCTTGTAGTTGTAGAATATGCTCATGGAGAATAAGGCATTAAAAAATATATATTGACTATAGTCAACATGCTACTAATACACATGCTAATGCTAACTACTAAATGGTGTTAAGTGATGATGTGTGTATCTTAAAGCTGCAGTAGGTACTTTTATAAAAATAATGTTATGTCCTTTTTGCTGAAACTTTCACTATATCCTTACAGTAGGAAATAATGGAATGAGACTTAACAATCAACTACCTTTTCGCCTCTGATTGGTTGTTTTTGTTCAGGCCCGGTGGATCCTTGTAAATAAAAAAAATACCTACTGCAGCTTTAAGGTACACATATTCACCATTAGGTAGATTATTAGCATGCATATTATTGCATATTGTCTCTTATTAGTCAGTATAAAGCCATTAATAATGCCTTATTCTGCATAACCATATTTCAACAACTACTAGGGAGTTTTGCCTCATTAACATCTTACCTGGGGGGCGGCTGTGGTGCAGAGGCAGAGCGGGTCGTCTCCTAATCTGAAGGTTGTTGGTTCAATCCCCGGCTCCTCCTGCACACATGTCGAAGCATCCTTGAGCAAGATACTGAATCCCGAATTGCTCCCGATGCTGTGCATCAGTGTGTGATGAGTGTGTGTGAAAGGGTGAATGTGGCACGTAGTGTAAAAGCGCTTTGAGGGCACTATACAAGTACAGGTCCATTTACCTTTCGTTGTAGAATGATTATAAAATTAATCTTGATATCTTATCATTCCAGTGTTGGGTTACTGCTTCAGTCTGTGGGCAAAATGGTGGCAGTGTGTGTGGCCCCATAGCAGGTTTATCCAGTCCTTTAAGCAATAGCACAATTTATAGATTCATTGGCTAAGATTTCCTGTTTTGTTCTCATGTAGCTACATTATTGCCACTTGTAAAAAGTGCCACATAACTGCATCAGAATTAGCCCTGCACTTAGGCAAGACTGTAATCTGCAGGCTCACTGGGCGAGACTGCCTTCAACAACTCGCTCTGCAGTGCAACAGCAGTAATGCAATAAAGTGCATTACTGACAAGTGATATGTTTTTAGTTCCAGTGTCGGGAGCAGGGAGTTCTCAGGCACACTTTCACACAGCGTTCGTAGACAGAGGGAGGAGCAGGAGGAGAGGAGGCAGATGGAGGGGAAAGTAGGAGCAGAAGGAGGAGTAGAGGGGGGGCCGGAGCACAGGAGGAGCAGCAGCTGGTGTTATCTGCTCATGTGGGTGACGCCCCTGGGTGCCTCACAGTGATATGGAGGACAGAATGGGAGGGGAGAGGGGGGCATGTTATACTAAAAGATGCAATGCACAATCCTCACAGGATGCCATCTATTAATAAGATGTATGTATGTCACAGAAAGAAATAATAATTACACTCTGTGGTCATCTGTCTTTCTGTGGTTGTTTTGTTCGCTAATAAATGGCATGACATCGGATGCAGCAATATAGGCTGTGTCAGAAACATTTCCAATACTGGGATCAGACATTTTCTTTACAATGTCATTTCCAATCTAGTAAAGCCTTAAATACACATCAATTAACAACTTCTGATGCCTTTAGGGTCAGGTCTGTGATGGGTTAGATCAACGACTGATTCTCACTGATATTGTCATGGAGAATTGTTTGTAGAGTGCATCAAGTCCTTTATTCTCAGTCATTTAACTACCTGTAGCCATCATATATGTGCATGTTTGCATTAGCAGTTTCCAGTTTTGCAGATACACTTTGCAACCAGCTGAAACAGCACGGGTACTATACTTTCATTAACTGCTTGACTCTTAAGGCATGGCACAGGATTCTAACAGTACCTTTTCTATGCACTGGGGAACTGTTTCACACTCATCAGAGATTCAGAAACCCCCTCTGGACGTATACCTCACCACAGCCTTGCATTCCCCCTAGTATAATGTCAGCATTGTGCAAATGTACCCAGAGATTAATTGAATGGAACCTTATTAACAGGTAAAATGAAGTCAATTGATACAGGTTTTTGCACTACAGCATACTGTAGGCTGGAAGTATGTTCCCTCCTTGCTTGAAAAGTGTTTCATACCTCAAAGGACCATGACCACAAGCATATCCATCCAGAAGAAGATATGACAGATATTGTTCAAGGTTTCTAATCTTTAAATCAACAGATGTATTTACAAACACTGCTAATCCACAAAAAACCCTCTTCCATCAAAATCATTTTTTTTACTTTAGCAGCCGGGATATTCTCTAAACAGACTGACCTCTTTACAGCATCGTTGCGGTGATTGAGGGTTTGTTTCATTCCACCATCAGAGAAACCTCTGTCCTAGACAGCATCCAAAAAAGCCAGCTGTCTTATGGGAAACTGCTGCCATCAAGCCTCCCAACAGTCAGTAGCTAACCAGGCTACTGCTGCTCAGCTTCACTCAGTCATTCGTTCTGAGCAGAGCTGCAAAAGCACTCCACTGTAAACACTATGGAAGGAGAACAGCTGAGCTAAACCAAACACCAGCACTGTGACCAGACCTACATGAAAGCAAGGACTGGATCTTATAGATCTAGTTCTAAAATTGACACTTAATGTTCCTATTAGTACCACTGATCTTTCAAATATTTTATTTTCAACCATCTGTTATCACAGCACAGAAACCTGGGAGCAGATAGTGTTCCTGGTTGTTTATGGGTCTCTGTGCATAAGGAAATTGCCACACAAAGGACAGGTGTGTGTGTGTGTGTTGGGGGGGGATCAATGGGGGCGCAACATGCACAGCCCCCTGACAGGTTCATTCTGCCATGTAAGAACACCCCTACAGTGTTTATTATTAATCAGTTGCCTGTGAATACCAGACCAGAACCTGTCAAAGCAACCACTGGGAAAAGGTCAAAGGTCAGTTGCCTGCAGTCAGTGGAGGATTGGAGAAAGATCAAGGAGGACACTTGCATGTGAGACTAGGTTACCACCTCCAATATACAACCACCTGTTATCATGTGACTGAAAGAGCCAGTGCCTGTTGTATCCTCCTTCCATCCAATGTCTCTTTCAATCAAGGGGGTTAGTGGGTATAGCCAGTGGCGGACTCGGGCTGTTTCAGGGGCAGGGGCGAATAAAGGAAAAGGGCGCCAGTGGCAGAAAGTTGTGATGCATTTATAGTAAAACAGCTCAATCAGGGTTAGAATTAGCACCTTAAAGGGCATTTTGTTGTGTTGTGTCCGCTGGAAGGGTACTTTATTGTGCCCTGGATGGGCTGGAAGAACTGCATTGGTCCTTCAGGGGGTTCCAGAGGGCTTCCTAATATAGAGATGTTTCGGGAGGAATCATTTTATTTCATTCATCGAATTGTGATTACCAAACATTGTAAAAATAAACATTATCAGAGTGCCATCATGACAACAATAATAATCCTGACAGCTAACTGTGTAACTCATGTGTTCTGACGGGTTGAATGCAGAACACTTCTTTATTCCCTTCACGCCCTGCAGTCGGAGCAGAAGCCATTTCAGCTCCCATACAGCGTGTCTTATCTCCCCTCCCATCAGCTAGTCGTGCGTTGCGTTCTCTAATGCATTTTCTGGGATTTGAAACAATTAATTAAGCCGGTGTGCAGCCCGTGACGCCAGCTCAACGAGGTCCCGCTGCCTGGCGGAGCCCCGAAAATGCGCAGCGGCTCCTCGGGATGTGCTAGTGTTGCATGACTCTCTCTCTCTCTCTCTCTCTCCCTCTCTCTCCTCTCCCTCTCTGTAAGGTGACCGGGGAGCCGCGCGCTCACTGCTCATTATTTAACGTCTTCAGATCGAGCGGCAGCAGCGGGGAGACGAGCTTTGACGCAGATCTGCTCCGGACACTGTTGTGACTGCTGGAATAAGCCGAGAGGGCTGCCGGAGGGGAGGGGGGGTCTGTGTACTGACATCTCAAGTGCCGGGAGCACTGTATGTACCGCTTCATGCGCCAACCTCCACTCTTCAGGTGAATCCTCCGCACCTATAGGCTGTGTGGGCTTTTCTTCTCTACATTTTCATCCAAATTTGCCTGCACCTCGCCGCTGACGCTTGGATGTTGGTAAAACGACGCGCATGCGTTGCTCTCGGAATAATTTTGCAGCCTAAGTTGCATCCCTGAGATCTTGTGTCAAAGTCGTCGGCGGGATCAGAGTTTAGCGATGTGGAGCACTCTGGACCGAGGGCGCTGGGGGGTCTGCTGCTTGTCCCTGCTGGCCACTGTGGTCTGCGGGGCGCAAAGGTGAGAATATCATCATGTGTCATGTCTTTATTTTCACACGGGCCCTGCGAGATTTGCTCATATCCTGACTTAAAATGTTCTGTCCTCAGTGCCAACGAGCCCAGCAACATGTCATACGTGAAAGCCACCGTGGACAAGCTGCTGAAGGGCTATGACATCCGTCTGCGGCCCGATTTTGGAGGTAAAAGCCCCCCACACACACACACACACACACACACACACACACACACACACACACACACACTGTCCGCTGTGCCCATGTTTGTGATGCTCACCGGGCTGCTGTAATGCTTGCCAAAACTCTGCTGTCATATTTTCCATAGGCGCCCCTGTGGATGTCGGCATGAGCATAGACATCGCCAGCATTGACATGGTGTCTGAAGTCAACATGGTAAGTTGTTCCCACTGTGGGCGCGATGCTGCAGTGAGTTTCTTGCCTTTTTTCAAACACATGGAGAGGAGATCCGCGTCAGTCCCGGTTCGCCTCTTTACTTGCTGCAGCGCCTCTCCTGAAGGAAACTAAAAAAGATCCCCCCTCACCCCCTCCCGTGCCCCCCCCCCCCCTTCAGCACCATGGAGAGATCCGCAATGTGTCAAATAGCCAATCCGTATGCATCGAGTACTTCCCCGCCGGTGTCACAACCGGCGCAGGCTGAGAATTAACAAGACAGAGACCGACAGCACATAGGGAATGAGATGAGGGGGGCTGCTTAGTGATTCCGCACACGCGTCTGCGGCCCCAGCATGCGCGGAGAGCCCGAGAGGCTTCAGCGGGATGGTGGTGGTGGTGGTGGTGGGGAGGGATGGATGGACACAAGGAGGAGAAGACAGGAGGAAATAAGACGTCTCTGTGCATGTTTTTGTCCGGGTTTTTTTTCCCTTTTTGGCCTGAGTGCAGTAATTACATAACGGCTGTCAGTGAGTCAACGGGAGGAAGGAGGCCCAGAGAAGCAGAGAGTCTGCAGAATATGATTTGACCGCTTAATACAGGGTATCAATGCAGCGCTGCCGAGGAGCCCGGGGAATACACACACACACACACACACACACACACACACACAGTAGCGGATGTGTGAGGTCGGCGCACGTGCAGAGAAAGTGTGTGTGAGAGATTCGGACTTTACATTAATGAACATATGCTGGTGTACTGCTGCTTTACTGCAGCCTCACATACAGCTCTGTCCCTTTATCTGCCTGTTTAAGTCTCTTATATAAAAGATATAAATAAACTTTTTACATAAATAATTCATTAAAGGGTTGACTGCAAAAACCTTTAATGAATTATTTATTTAAAAAGTTCCTGATTCAAATTGGATGAGAATGGGGCTTTTTGATAATGTTTTTGCATTTTCTGAATAGAGTTTTAAAGCTGGGTATGGGAGGAGAAAAGTAACATAATTCCTCAGACTCTATGTGGACTTTAGACTAATGGTTTATGAGCTTGATCACATATGCAGTGGTTGGAACTAATGGACGCAGATGTAGTTTTTGTTTGCCTTGTGCTTTAAGGGGTTTGTGCATCTGTTGTATTTGCATTGTGGGATATCTCCTGGAGCGTTTTCTGTGGGTGGTTTATGTCTATGTGTGGATGATGTTGATGCATTGTGCTGTTGGATGGCAGTGGGTTAATATGCCAGAATGTTTGGTTTGCTGTTAGCTAACATGTCTGACTAATCCCATGAAGGATGGGTCATGTTGTGGTTCCCAACCCTTTTCTCTAACCCTGTCTGATGAACTAAAGTACCCTTTCATCAACACCACGTTGAAACAGAGTTCATTTGACTCGATTTTGAACTGAAAGTGTCAGTTTAGACAAGTTTACATTTGTGAATACCACTTAAAGTGTTAGAAACAGAATATTCTGCCATTTCCCCATTACTTTTAGATTTTTCAATGGCTTTTAGCTGACTATTTCAACTGTTTATTCTTAACTTAAAGCCCCCTCCAGTCAAACATCAGTGTTTCTTCTTGGTCCTACAGTGTGCTGTTTGAATGCTGTCTGTGCAGTTTGACACTAGAAGGATATTTTCACATTCATCTGCTGAAAGAGGAAAGTTTCTCTGTGCTTAAAAAAAAATCTGACTTTAAGGGGCGGGGCCTACCAGCTGGATTTGTGACATCACAAATAGTTTGGAAGTCAGTCCTGGTCCAGTATCAACTTGTACAGTGTGATGTAGAAACTTGAAGCCACCAGTGCACATCCACTGAGAATGGACTTTACAGTGAAGGAGGAGACATCTTGTGTCCAGCAGCAAAACTTTACAAATCAACAACATTTGTATATTCAGATATTCTGCAAGTTTTAATGAAGTAAAAGGAGTAGATTACTTTTTAAGGATTTTTATTTATTTTTTTTGTGGAAAAAAGATATCCGACACACAGTATTGTTCCAAGCAGACTATTTGTATAGAGGGTCTTTAAAGCAATCTACATTATCCACTATTTTGGTCTTTCACAACTATTAATACATTCAGCTCACAAATTCAACCTTAAATCAATTAGTTTTAGTTATATATTGAACCATTTAGGCATTATTAGAAGTTGTGGATAAACCATTGATATATAGTCAGCTGATATTTAGCTGTCCATTTCTACTTAGTGTTCATGTGTTACAGCTGACTCAGTAAATGGATATATACACACATATTAGTTGAGCTTCTCTTCACACACAAGATGTCTCCTACTTCACTGTAAAGTCTATTCTCAGTGGATGTGCACTGGTGGCTTCAAATTTCAAACAGATGAATGGGAAAACATCCTTCTAGTGTCAAACTCTGCACATACATCATTCAAACATCACAATGAAGGGACAAGAAGAAACTGGAGGGGAACTCAGCCAGTGCAGCAAAATAATTCCAACCTGTTTCCAGCACCTTGTTTCCAGACTTTCTCACTGGTGACTTTAATCTTTGACTACAAATGGCTTTATTAAATAATACTGGCAGTCAGCAGCCTCTATCAGGACAAAGCCTGCTACATTATTTACATTCATAGCACTCATACATAAGTCATCTTTACACGAGACTGTGAATTTGCGGGAGCAAATACACACAGTGTTTGTGGAGTTAATGATGTGCTGTCATTGTGAACCCTGGTTATGAATTGTTTAGTAGCTTGACTTGGAGCTGTCAAAAGTTCCTAATGGGAAATGGACAGAGCCCAGTGCTGAGATGTGATTGGACCGTGTTATCCATGCCCGTCTTTATGGGTCACTGATTGGACCCTGGTACCCTGTCTGATTTTGCATGTCAATAAAAACAACGGCGATGGGGAGGGCTTGTTACTGCTCTGTTTGAGAGGAAACTCTTGGCAAAAGATGTTGCTTGAGTAGGTGCCAAGCTAAACCAGAAGCCTAAATGGTCTTATGACTTAGAGTATAGATGTGTATTGATTTAAGGTAAAACTCTCCTGGCCTCAGGAGAGTGTAAAAGTGAGAATTTCTTTTTAAAAGTGTGTTTGAGCTCACCCCATTCTCTTCACCACAGTAGTAGAGATATTGTAGACAGGCCCTATCATTCTAAATTAAATCTCGGTGCCAGTGGAAAATCTTCTGCACATAGAAAGTAACAAATTGAAACTTAAGAGTGAAAGTATCACTGACACAGCATTGACTGGGTGGTCCATAGAGAGAAATCCCATTCTCTGCCTCTTTACCACCAGAATGGGGTGCAGATCCATTGCAGGTGATCAGGAACTGACGAACACACAAGTCACTATAATATTAAAGTTGCACTCATCAGTATTTTTTTATATTAACAATTGATCAAAGACTGTGTGTAGTTTGAAAGGGGCTTTTCAAATCCACAGAGAATTATCACCAACTTTACCAAACATTTTAGCCTCTTTCAGCTCATTGTTTTGGTTTTAAGGGCCCGAATTCTATAGTTTTGCACCTGATTGGCCTTGATTCCAGTACATAAAAAGCTCAGATAAACACACTGTACACTACCTAGCCAGAACCAAATAGCACACAATAGACACAGTTAGAGACTAGAGCAGTGAACAGTGGAGCATTTAGTAGCTAAAAAGCCACATATTTCTTTCAGTTGGTGGGACTAATGACTGAGCTAAAAGGAGAGTGACATTTATCCGGAATGCTACTGTTTCTCTGTGTCTGCTGGATGTGTAAATAGGCAACAGTTTGCTAACACATCATAAAAACCTCTGCCATGTCAGATTTTTTAGCTTGTTGAAGAATTCTGCCCCAAATTAATAACTGATTAATGCAGCTTCAATCCTAATTCCACTAACATACAAGGACCGGAAATTTAAACTACTGTAAGAAACAACCATCATAGTAAATGTTGACTTATTTCTTCTTAAAACAACAATTACAGTTGCATATTGTGTAAAACAAAAATTGTGTGTGTTAATTGAAATGAGGACCCATTGCAAACATGAACCTCATAAATTGTTCCATCTATTAAAACTGCATAGGGTGGATTGACATTCGGGACATTTTAAAAAAGCACTAGTTAAAACAAAAACAGAAAACAATCATATGAAGTCATGAGGAACAAATTGATTGACCAAGTCATGACAACCTGGGGTCTGTGGGTACCCCAGTCTGTGTTAAGGTTAACAGCTGCATTGCATTACGTTGCACTAATTGCACGAACAGAGCCATCATTAATGTTATTAGTTCCACCTGTGTCGGTAATAATGAAACAAGATTTCCCTGATGTCAAAAGCCTCTGAAGATTCAGTTAGCAAGATTTATTGAGGAAAAAGTACATGTGAAGTACAAGATGGACAGACCTTTGGGAGGGAAGGAATGACAAACTTATGATGCTCAGTCAAATCCAAAGTATGAAGAAGTTCTTGATCTAAAAGGAGGGTTTTGTGTGGGTTTTTTGGGTAAAAACCTTGACCTTTGGGGCAAAATCAAACTTTGATTTTTCACTTGCACAACTGAAACTGATAATTAGTTTTCCTGTGCAATGAGGGATTATTAGCAACATTTCACATGTGCTCACATTAAGGCAGGGGTTTCCAAAAACGTAATGGTGTGTCAGGGGCCAAAAACAAACTGAACTGTATTGTTAAGATGTATAATGGTTCTAAGATCCCACGTTATTAGTTATCTAATTAAACGTACAATATGTTATTTCTCACATTCAAACAAGACCAAAAGACAGTAACAGTAAACCAGTAAAAACACTGAATAAAGCATATAGATACTGCTAACGTTAACTCAGCTTGTTTCTCTGACATCCGATGACAAAATTCTTCATCTGGCCAACTTTGACCCTCAGGCCTCACTTCAGGCAGCTGTGCTTGGCTGATTTATTTACAACCTGTCTGATAATCTGACTGCTCATGCTTGTAGCCCCCTCACACTTTGTTATAGTGATGTCACAGTGTTCCCAAATCTCAGAACATTAGCCATAA